CAGTCTTAATGTTTGCTTCGATGAAATCAGCGTTAAAAAGGATCTTGGGAGGGAAGTTGGCTGATGCTGTGGGAATTAATCAAGAAACTGCCTACGTAACAGAACAGAAAAGCAAACCGCGCTACTCTTGGAATCAGCGCGATAAACAAAAGGCGTCACTCCCTGGAACTAGTCCACTAGACAGGTATGGACGCAGATCAAGATGTGCAGTCTGTCAGAGCACATTTCACTGGCCAAAAGACTGTCCAAACAAAAGTGAGCAAGCTAACTTTACCTATGCTGGTGAGTCAGAGAAGGTGGAGGAGTGCAACATTGCTCTATATACAAATGAGGCACCCTCAGATGCGGAAATATTTATGACTGAGTGCCTTGGTTCGGCAATAATAGACACAGCATGCACCAAAACAGTATGTGGACAAGAATGGCTTGACAGCTATACTATTAAGCTAACTCCAGTTGAAGTAAAAATACTAAGTATGTCAGACGTACACAGCAGTAGACCCTTCAGGTTTGGAGATGGAAAAATAGTAAAATCCATCAAAAGGGTAAACATACCAGCAAATATTGGACAGACTAAGTGTTTGATCGAAACAGAAGTTGTCCCCCAAAAAATGCCTCTGCTTATAGAAGTAAAGACGACAGCAGAATACAGCCCATGGAGCAATGGGCTACTTGAAAGACATAATCAGACGCTCACGGAGATCTTAATGAAAGTGAAAACAGACACAAGCTGTGACTGGGATACTGTATTGGACTGGGCGATAATGGTTAAAAACACTATGCAGAGCGTGCATGGTTATAGTCCTTATCAGCTGGTGTTCGGACAGAATTCCAACCTGCCATCTGTGCTGACTGACAAACCACCTGCATTGGAAGGCACAACAAAAAGCGAATGGGTGGCAAATCACATCTCGGCTTTGCATGCATCAAGAAAAGCATTTACAGAAGCAGAATGTTCAGAAAGAATAAGACGAGCTCTGCGTAAACAGATTCGACATGGAGATGACAAGTATGAAGTTGGTGACAAAGTCTATTATAAGAGTGGACTTCCCAGAGTAGAAAGGACCAGGAGTTGTCATTAGACAGGATGGTGCAGTGGTGTTTGTCAGACATGGTGGAATGTGTATCAGAATCCATCAAGTCAGACTGAAAAGGTGGACAATGAGAAAGATGATTTACAACGGGAAAACTACGCAAAAAAAATGCTGTGCTAGGTCAGGAGAGGACAAGAGACTTTGTTGATGACATGGAGGCTGCAGAGCACACAAACACACTGGGACAACCAGAAGTAACAGCTAGTGAGGATGCTGGAGAAACTACTGCAGTTGTAATGATGCAATGATGTTTTTGTAGAGGTTAGAGATGAAGGGCAAAAGACAGTCTCCACAAGATGGGTCTGCACTGTGAAGGAGACGTCTGATGGATTAAAACCTAAAGCAGTGGTTCCCAAACTTATTTAGCCGCGCACCCCCTTCTATGTCCCGACCATGTCGACGCACCCCCCCCCCCCCCCCCATCACGGCATGGCTATATATATATATATATATATATATATATATATATATATATATATATATACACACAAATATATATATATACATACACAAATATATATATATACATACACAAATATATATATATACATACACAAATATATATATATATCAGACGTCAAGCTAAACAGACAGGGTTAAAAAATATGATCGACCTTTTTCCCCCATCACTTTCATTTTTTAAATAGTAATTAATAAACATTCAATACCATTACAATTTCCTTTGATTTAATTTTAAATAAATATTTAGAGTGCCCAGGTAGCACATAAACAATGCAATTTAAAGGTTTTCTTAAAGTAGGAACGTTTAACCTGTGTGTGCAGAGCGCTCTCCTTCCTTCTGCTCTGCTTAAACCTGAGCTGGTCAACTACTTGTGCGTAATCAAATGTCTATAGGGGAAAAGGAAAAAGCTTTAGCCATGAGGTTCACTTTTGCCTCAGACCGACTTATTGCTGTTTTATGGTGTGGCTGAATCTGCGATCCGCTGCCACGCGGACTGGAATAACAAATGCTGCAGTAACATGAGTTGTCAGGTTCATGAGGAGTCACTGGCTGGAGCGGACCCGACTTTAATACATCGTCCCAAAATAGAAGCTAATATCTTAATTTGACCTGGAATGAAAAATGTTGTTATAAAACCTCTTAAAAGTTTTTATCACAGAGGAGGCAGAGCTCATTTCTGCCTTCAGTCTGACGGCGCGCCGCAGTTTGCGCAGCGTGCACTCATTGAATCTGTGTATGTGCGCGTGCGCGGCACAGCTCCACGAAGCTTGGTTTATGCTTGACGCATTCACTTTCCGCTTGGTGATGCGGCTCGCGGATGGAACGCGCTTCACAACTTGCAGCGTTTAAGTCACCGCAGCGCTATTTAAACCAATGTTGTAAAATTACTTCTGCCCAGCCCAGATGTGCTCACTTGTGCACCCGTGAGCCGTGGTTCCGCTGGAACGCGTCTGACCTCTGACAGACGCACTCTAAAACTTCAGATCTTCAGCGCGTGTGAGGTTTACAATGTCAGAACACCTGCATGAGACAGGTGTTAATTACAATCTGCCAGAATGACTCACCACCTTCAGATTTCTCCAACATCGTTAAAAATGATCAAATACGGAACATATCGGCGTGCGCAGGCCAGAGTGCTGAAGCTCGGTGCATTGTTATTATGAAGTTAGGGCACATGTGGAGGACACACACACAAGTAAAATATACTTGTTTTCAATTACATTTATTGTGCCCACTTACTTTTTCTTAGGCCCACCCACAAATGAGTTTACTGGCAACGCTAATGGTGACACCTGACAGACTTCTCTGAGCTCCGCAGCCATTACACTTTTCAGCTCGCGCACCCCCGGGGGTGCGCGCACCACACTTTGGGAATCCCTGACCTAAAGCATGTTTGGTGGCTAGAGGGTTTGAAGAATTACAAGTGTCAGAACTACAAAAGGACTCACCAACACGTGCTTCAGAGTCCCTTCTAGGGTTGTCACGGTGTGAAAATTTAACCTCACGGTTATTGTGACCAAAATTATCACGGTATTTTTTTAAACATGTTAAATTTTCAGGAAACTAAATAAACCCTGTATATCAGGAAAATATTGTCCTCAGTTTGTGTCTAAATTTTGCCTAAAATGTGTTATTTTGTAATTATGTTGTTTATTTGTTTACATTTTTCCCCTTTAGTCTTTAAAATACCAATATTTGCCCATAATTTCTTATTTTATGTCTGTTTGATGTCATCATTTAAAAAATATTAGATCAGATGATACTCAGTATTCAAGTAGCCTTCTAATCAGATACTTTTTTACCCTTACTTGAGTAATAAACCCTGTATCAGGAAAATATTGTCCTCGGTTTGTGTCCTTCCAGTGAGCTTTGCAGATTTGGGAACAATGTCATCAGGCAGTAATCATTGTTAAATTCATAATTATTCTCGGAGAGAGACCAACTCTTATCTGTCCCTGGGAGCCCCGTAATGCATAGCGTCATTTCAACATGGGGGTGTCCATGACACGGTTTTTATGCAGGTAGCGGCGCTGCGGCTGCTTTATATAGCGAAGCGTTGCATTCTCCCTCAACCTAAATCCTCGGATCATGCATTTTAGCTAAACGCTAACTAGCCTTGCGTTGACTGTAGAGTTGTGGGTGATGGTCACGCAGATGTGTCATGAGATTTGAAGCGTTGCTGCCTTTCACCGAAACCTAGAGTGACCCATTTGAGTCAGAAATAATCATTAAAATGTTTTTTTCAGTGAACCACACCTTTAATAATATTTGCCTAACAGCCTTTTTAAAGTTTCTGTAAAAAGACAAAAAGGTTGAACAGTTGACAGCTGGTCAGGGTTAGCTCTGAAGGATGGAGACTTCTTATTGAGCTAAGATGCTAAACTCCTGCTAGTGCAGTCGATATTAGGAATATTACTTAAATGTGATTTCTACTTGTTCAAAACTTTTCTAATTTAATCAGTAAGAATGTCTGGACAAGGATAAATTATGTTTTTATGAAGAACAAGAATTACAGGAGAGGTGTTGCTGATTAAATATTAGAATGGCTTGATGTACAGATTGTTGTAGACAAATACAGGGGGAACGTAGAGCACCACAATACGAACTGTCGTTCACTGGATTGTTTTAATATTACTGTTAATCTGTTCAGTCACTAACCTAATCTGACTCAGGTGGAGCTAATCTGTCAGCGTGATGATGTCAGAGATGATAAATTACAAGTGTCACAACGTTTTTTTCTGCCAGCTCTGCAGATGGACGATCATGGTTCTGATTTTCTCTCTTAGCAGCTTTGGGAGTCTAAATATCTCCTCACAGGAGACTTGAAGCACTTCCTGGGTGGTCCTGCAGGTTGTTGATGCTGGTTCTGCTGCGTGTTCAGTTTCACTTTGGTCCGCTAATGTCTTTTTATTTGCACTGTTGGAGACGTCTTTACGGTGGGGTAACCACGGCATTTCAATGGTTAGGTGGAACTAATCCATGCAAATCCAGATGTTTCAGCCTTTTTGTTATAACTGATTATTATTTATTAGAGCTGCTCCATAAAATGTTTATTGTTATCGTATTACATCGTTGTGATGTCAGAACCTGGTGGTCCACTCACAAGTGGTTACCATGACAACGTGGATGCTGCTTGTGGAGGAGTTACAGAACGAGAGGCTGGATGTGTGATCCAGGCGTACACCCACAGACATCGTGTTATCACTACTTTGCTTTTTACATTTTGTTTCCACTTTCTGACACAAGTTTTTGTTCCTTCAAGGACGTGTTTTTTAACTTAATCTGTTTTGTGCAGCTAAAGGGGATTGGATTAGATTTGTTCACGTCAGACACGCCAGAGTAAATATCTACCAACTAATATCAGTTTGATAATCTAGAAGCATCTGAATGATGGAGGCCAGAGTAAACACGTGGAAGGTTTTACCTGGAGCTTCTGAACTCACCATTTTAGCAGCCTGAGCTTCTCCTTCAGCCTGGATGATCTTCTGCCTCTGCTCCTGTTTGGCCTTCTCCACATAAAACTGGGCTCGCTGCGCCTCCTGCTGGGCTGGGGAGGAACAGACGCACAGAAACAGCTCAACAAATCATCTGCAAAGCTCTCGATGAGATTTTGGGTTGAAAAAGGACACATAAGAAGTTTTTCTTCTTTAGAATAAATCAGTATTAGTCACATAGAATATCAGCTGGAGGTCACTTCCTGTTTACTCACCGACTTGTTTGGCCTCCACGGCGGCCGTGTACTCTCGGCTGAAGCTGAGCTCGGTGATGGCAACGTCATCCAGGATGATGTTGAAGTCTTTTGCTCGCTCGAACAGCTCCCTACGGATCAGCAGGGACACCTGCAGAGAGGACGCCGTCAGCCGGGCCGAGACCAGAACTAACACCAGCTGCTCTGAGCAGGTGGATCAGGTTAGCTGGTTAGTTATGGGACCGCTTGTCCAAAAGGACCACCAACAGAAATAAAAAAATATGATCAAATATTCAGTTTCATTTCATTTGTCATCCACGAGGAACCAGAAGATGACAAACACATGGTTAACATCACCAATGTTCTGATTCCAGCTGGCTACAGGTGAGGATCTTCACTGTCTCCCGATACCAAGAATGCATCTGGATTATTTCATCTGGATTTGTTTTCATCCATGAATAGATGTCAGATTGTTGCTTTGACACAACAATTAGGACAATGTGAAAGTGCAAAACAATTTAAACATTTAAAAAGATTAACTAAAGAAATCTGTTTCCTCATTCAACAGTCACATCTCAGTCTGAGAAAAGCTTTGCAAATGCTCACAAAATCCTAAAAACCCAGAAAACCCAGAGGCCACGTCCAATTCTGGCCTTTAATTAAGTTCTAAAATCCATAATAGGTTCATAAATGAGCTTTTAATTTCTGTGAGCAGCTTTAGAGTCACACATTTATGCTGAAGGGTGTAAGAAATGACACCAGACTAAATGTTTGCCTTGGTTTGTTATTTAGTTTGAACCCAGTGGTTCATTTCTCAGGGTTTCCCCCAGCGCTTTATAAGCCTGGCGGCCCGCCAGGCTTTGCTTGACCACCCGCCAGGCTACGCGTCATGCCCAAGCCCCCACAATGCGGCTCAAAAATTGAGTCCAACCCGGAAGTACCAAAAATTGCAGTTCCACCCTCATTCGCTGGGGGCTGGTGTCAGAAGCGAGCAAATCCTCATTGACTCCCATGTTAAAAATACCAATTTCACAGCAGAAATAAACATGTTTACAGCCTGGTACCAAAACATGTTTTAGGTTTAAATTATCTAGTTTACACTCATGACAACTCTGAGGGGGGTGAATTTTTTCTCACTCTTCTGTTTAAGTGTATTAAAAGCCTAAAATTCTGTATAATTAATGAGCATCAGACCCACGTGACCACAGAGCTAGCTACGTGGAAAGGCCTCAGTAGAGCCTCGGCCTGGCTTGGAAACTGTTCTGGCATTTTGAGTCTCTGTGTTTGTGTATTCTTTTTTGGATATTTTTTGTGCAATTGTTGGACAAAATGACTTGCCGTGGTATTAATTGCACTAATAGAGCATCCAAGGAGCCTCCACTTCATATTTTTCGGTAAGTAAAATTATATTTATGTATTTTAGGTCACTGCCAAGCCTTAGATTTTAACTTGTACTGTTAAACCATGAAATTTAAATGTAATAGGGTAAACCCCAGTGCATTTAACACAATGCTGCACTTTAGAAAATGGGTTGAAATATAACATGTTGGTGGAGCTGGGTTCTGACTATCGGCTTGTGGAGCTCTCAGGAGACCGACATTTTCCACCCGGTTCTCCCCAGCGGCAGCTCTGCGCATCTCAGATCGCAGCGGCGCTTGTCTGCTGTGCGGCTGCCGGCTTGTGGAGCTCTCGGGAGACCTCTGTGTTCCACCCGGTTTTACCCAGCGGTCAGCCCGGCGTATCTGACTCAGAAGCTCTGGTGTTGTGCACAGTTAACTCCGGTTGTAGCTAGGTTGCTACCTCCGTTAGCTTTGCTCCCACCTCTGCATTAGCTTTGGGTTAGCTTCAGTTTAGCTTGTAGCTAGTTCGACCGGGTGTCGTCAGTTGATCCCAGCCTTATAGCCCCACCCTCAGCTCCTCCTCTCTTCCCTTTTGTGGAATTGTCTGGGCTTGATGGAACCTGTGACACGGTCAAAATGGCGGTGGTGGCCACCTCCCATTTATCTTCAAAAATGTGTTATTGGAGCCTATGGAAACCCATTGTCCAATATTTATATGTCGATGGTCATGCCCCGCCCCCCCTCCCTGATCCTACCGAGTCCGCTGACACGAACGGCGCAACGAAACTAGAGCCCTCCATCAGCTGATACTGGTGAGAAACAGCAGCGGAATGTGTGCAACCACCCACCCCCGCTCTCACAGAGGAGCGCTGCGGGAATTTGCCAGGCTTAACTCATTTTCTGGGGGAAACCTATGGAGCTAGGTTTGGGACAATATTCAGCGTAACTTGTACCAAGTTTTGTAACTCCGAACATGTTTCATCACATGTAACTTTGGATTCGTAACTTGTAACTTTAGTTTTCTAACTTGTAATTCTCAATTTGTACTTGTATTTCTTGTTTTGTAACAGGAAATTTTCATTTTGTACATGTATTTTTTATTTTGTAAAATCAAACTTATTTTGAACATTTACTACTCATTCAGTAACATCAAACATTTTTGTAACTAGCAGACTTCCAAATTGAAAAAATCAAGGTACAAGTTTGAAATCAAAACTCTCAAAACACGCATTTCATTCTACAGGTACAAACCTCAAATCTACAGTGTTACGGATCTTTTTGTCTCGATTCTAGCGTCAGTGGGAGGAACTTGGGTGGAACCAATGAGAGCACGAGTCTTAGCTACCAATCACGTTTCTCGAATTCCTTTCCAATCATTGGGAGAGGAGGGCAGTGTTCTGTCAGAGCTGTAGAGAGAGTTACGTCATGGAATGCGGGAGTCACGTGGTTCATGTAGCTTCGAATAGTTCCAAACAGCCCCCGCTGCTGCATTGACTACTGTTCATTTTCGGTGTTTCGGAAGGATTCTCTCTGGTAAGTTGATGAAATGTCATCATTTTGTTGCATTGTGAAGCGTTAGCTAACCGCTTCGTACCAAAATAAGCCAACGATGATATTTTATGTTGCCAGTTTTAGCTAGATAACCTTTAATGAGCTAACTGTGTGCAGCTTGTTGGTTGTGAGCAGGAGGATGAGCTGTAGACGGGTTTATTTCAGCTTGTTTGATTCTACGTTTTAAAAATATTCCCCACAGTTTGAAATAGTTTATAAACTTTTTACATTATTAGTTTTATTTGGGATTTTTTGTACAATACGTTGCTGGTTGCTGTATCAACACGAACATGCACCAGAAATGGAAGCACAAATGGAGAGACCAATAATAAAGAAAATGTGATTGTGAAGACAAGTAATTATTTAATATTTTTCAGTTAATAACACTGACTACAACACACTGCTGAAGCATGAGACAAACAGGATTACGAACGTAAGAAGATATGTTGTTCTGTTTTGTGGACTTGAGTTACTAAAACAAAAATCTTATGTAACCATTAAAGGTTAAACTGTGTTGTGTGTCCATCTTCATGTTTTCATAGTGGCTGAGCGGAGAGCTGACCAGGTGACCAGGTGGCAAAACCCAGTTGGGGCTGTGATGGAGTGATGCACACCTGGAGTGATTGCCATCTCATCCACAGTAAGCACACACTCTTTCCATCTAGATTTTTAACCTTCAAACTGAGCATGTCACACACCTCTCCTAACACACCTGGTTCCAGTTAATGGGCTGCATTTGTCTGTGCAGGGTTCTAACATCAGGCAGAGGGATACTCATGTCCTGAAGAAACCTGTAGCCTGTTGAACCCACTGAAAAACAGAGTTGTACAGCCTTTTTGATTGTCTGTTTACTCCATTTAATGCCTCTTGTGTTTTTCATGCCTTTTTGACTTTCTATTTCCTCCCTTAGGTTTTCCAGCTGGGTTCCCTGGTTGCATAGCCTGTTCCTTTCTCCTCCTGGCCCTGACGCCGGCTCCTCATTGCTTCCTGGGATGTCCCTCTCTCCTGATACCATCTCATGTCCCCCCTCACTTTCTCTCATCTCATTTGCCTCACTGCTGCTGCTGCTTTCCTCATTCTCTGAAATTATAATGGCACTGTTAGAATAAAGAATAATTTTAAAATAAAATAAATAAAATTTCTTAATATTTCAAAAGATTTGTACCACCGTTTACTTGAGTACAACATGTGTGGTCACTGGTCAGTGGATCAACATACAGCGGTTCTGCTGTAATTCACTGCGGGGTCCTTCCTCCTCCTTGGTTCAGGGTGATGAACAAACACAGCATCAGCCCTGAGTCTCACCTTGCCTTGCATAGTCTTAGTAAACTGTCCCTCCCCACAATGTGCCTGTAGAGGGGTGTATTAGTTTATTTCCTGCCACATTTAACAGTTTAATTGCAGCTTTGTGCAGCTGAGAGCAAAACATGTAGAGCCTTGATAGAAAACATTTGAGAGTGCACATTAAACTCACTGCACACAGCTTTTTGTTATTGTGATCTCTGGTCATGGTGATGTTGCTCCTGGTGACTTGAGCCAACCATTTTCTTCTTCTCTCTGCGACTTTGGGGAAGCCATAATTCTGATTCCTCCCTCAGACCGTTTGCTACATCCATATGCAGCACAGCCAACCATGTAAGATAATCAACCTATAAAGGGATTAGTAAAATACAGTTTTTGTACATATAGAAATATTGAACTAAACTTAAAATATAGAGATGTAAAATTACATTTTAAAATTTTATCCAACCCTAAAATTTGTAATTTCAAATTTTAACCCACTGACACATTTTATTTTAATAATAATCAAAATAAAGTTATTCAAAAGAGTTTCATTAGGTCTTGAGTACATCGCTCATAATTAATGATTCAGCTTATTTGTGCATATGTAATGACTAAACATAATGTTGGTAAAATGCTTTATTAAAAATGCTATTATGCATGTTGTCCAAGTTTGGTGTTCATTTTTTCACAGTTAACACTTTTTTATCTACTGTGATGAACCATACAGTTTTATTGAAAATTTCTTTTTAATTAGTTGCTATAGAAGCCAGATAAACTGGGTTATAGATGCATGTACTGTCTTCACATAAAAATATAAAGTAATGATTGTAAAATGTATTCTACTGAACATAATAGATCATCATTCAAAGCATAAACAGCTACATATTTTCTTCAAGGTAAGCTGGAGCAGAATTCTAGCTTTCAATAAACACTTTAAAATGGATGTTACAACTCGAGTTTAGGGCTTCTTGTAGGACTTAAAATTATTAAATATGTTTATATTAGAGCAGTGTGTTGCATTACTACATCAAATTTATTGCTATAGTATATTATAGTAATGTATGTGGTCTAAATGTGTTCTACAGTGTGTTAGGACTGTCGTGTTCCTGTAATGGAGAACAGTCACAGGTGTTTGTCTTCCTACAAATGCTCGGAAAAATATAAATTGGGTACTTTGTGAAGGAGTTAGGACATAATATAATATAATATATAATATTAGGGCTGCTCGATTATGGCAAAAATAATAATCACGATTTTTGTGACTGAAATTGAGATCACGATTATTTAGGACGATTTTTCAATTTATGATGATTTTATTTGTTTTTATTCAGTCATAAAATTGCTCAGGGCACAATTAGGACAAAAATAAGAAACAAGATGATCACTAAAATAACTCCTGATTCCCAGTATAAAAAGACCAATATACTTATAGCTCATAGTCTATGACCCAAGGGCTATAGACCTTGGTTTAACTCATTTAAGTCTAACCAGTACAGAACCAAATACCAATATCTTGCAAATACTGACAGCAAGAATTATACAGTGGCATTTATAACAAATAAATGCAAATAAATTGATGTTCACAAAATGTTGCATAACATTTATTGAGTCGTGTCAAGGTGCTGTAGGAGCACCGTGTCCTCAGAGAGGTTAGTTATTAGTTATCAGCGTGAGGAACTTATTTCTACCTTATTTATAAACTATTTATTTACAGGCCCATCAGTTAATGTAATAATTGTCTCAACCACAGCTGCACCCCCCCACCCCCCAACCCGGTCTCACAGCAATCGGGCAAGCTGCACGTGTGTTTAGCGCGCTGCACGCGCACATTTAGCTGTTTTTAGCTGCTCAGGAGTCCGCAGGTGCGGTGTGTGTGTCACTCACTCTGGTTTATCCAACAGGGAGCCGGCTCCGAGAGCCGTTTCTTTAGCGACCGACACATCACTGCATCTTTCCCTTTCCTAATGTTGTGAAGAACGGTCCGGAGCTCAGGCGGTGTTTAGCTAACCTGCAGGAAATGTCGACGACCGTTATCCAGAAAGTAGCTAAGGGTTACCAGAGATGTTTCTGAGATGTTCGCTAGGTACTTTTAGGATTAAAAAGTCAAGAAGGGGGTCTGAAAAGCTGCTAGAAATAGCGTCAAAGTCGCTAAGTTGGCAACACAGTGGAGGAGCGCTTCATTTGCAACTCAGGGCAGCGCAAGCGGGAGGAGCAAATAATCGGCTTGTTTTGTTTTTTATAATCGTTCAAAACTCAGATCGTAATCGTGATTAAAATTCGATTAATTGAGCAGCCCTATATAATATAATTCAATAATTACCACAAATCGCCAGGGGAAATGTGATTATATTAAATTTTTGTGATTTGTCCCACCATACGCCGTTCAAACTGACTTACGGCGCTGTGATGTTTGGAACTGAGAGCTCCATGAACCACGTGACCGCGAGTCGGTGAGTTCAAAGAGTGTCGTAACTCTCTCTTTCTACAGCTCTGACAGAACCCTGTCCTCCTCTCCCAATGATTGGAAAGGAGTTCGAGAAACGTGATTGGTAGCTAAGACTCGTGCTCTCATTGGTTCCACCCAAGTTCCTCCCACTGACGCTAGAATTGAGACAAAATGACTTGTAACACTGTAGATTTGAGGTTTGTACCTGTAGAATGAAATGTGTGTTTTGAGAGTTTTGATTTCAAACTTGTACCTTGATTTTTTTCAATTTGGAAGTCTGCTAGTTACAAAAACGAAAGTTTCGTGTTTCTGAATGAATGTTTGATGTTGCAAAATGAGTAGTAAATGTACAAAATAAAAGTCTGATTTTACAAAATAAAAAATCAATGTTCAAAATACAATGTTCCTGTTAAAAAACAAGAAATACAAGTACGAACTGAGAATTACAAGTTAGAAAACTAAAGTTACAAGTTACGAATCCAAAGTTACATGTGATGAAACATGTTCGGAGTTACAAAACTTGGTACAAGTTACGCTGAATATTGTCCCAATCCTAGCTCCATATAAAACATCTAAAAGTCCTAAACTTCCAATAATATCTGAGATGTTTGTTTAATAGTTACTGATAACATCAGGAGGCAGTGGACTGGATTAGGATTAAATTACCCAGCTGATGGGTCTCCTTTACTACTCCTGTGTGGCCCTCATGTCCATGCTGTCTCTGCAGGAGCAGATAGAAAACAAGATCTCCTGGAACTAAAAATGAACCAAAGCTTCTTTAAGTTGAACTGAATATCAGTTTATCATCATGAAACAAAAGAAAAGAGCAACAAAAACTTCTATTTCTCTTCTTAGCTGTGTCCCTAAATCAATGAGACAGACCATTACGCTGCAGTCGCCGTCCCTCTCCCCACGGCCGGGTCTCCAGACATCCCAACACTCGGTCGGACTGAGCGTATGGAGGCGTTACCTGTTTACGGCTGTAACTCACGTCTTACAACTTCTCCATTTATCCCCAGAACAGTGCGGCTTTCTTTATCACAACAGCCGCTGACCGGAACCGGAAACAACCCTTACCAAACACTAAACTGCCCTTCAAAATAAAACACATACTACTCTCGTAAAACCGTTGCAATAAAAATAACATTAATAATAATATTAATGTTAACAATAATTGTGATATTGTTGCTTTTGCTTTCCTGCACTTTTTAGAGTGTTTAGAGCTTTTAATGTTTTAAATCTGTTACACTGCTACTGGCAGCAGCTCGTTGTGATGCTTCCTGCTTCAGCGTGTAGGTGTAGATTCTCAGGGTGTTTCTCTATGCAAGGAACCTTGCCTTGATGTCTTGGTCCCGCCCCGGTTGCCTAGGAGATACGTCATCGGGAGCCGCCAAGACGTGTTCCAATTGGTTCCAATGTTCATGTTCTAACGAGGAGTCTGTTCTCCGTTCGTTAGCCGTTTAGCTAGCTGAGTAAGGATACATGGGAGGCGTCTTGTAGCCTAGCCTTGGTCAAAAATTACCCACAATGCACAGCGGTATTTTCAAAAAGACGGCGGCTACTTCGGGGACAATTTTCAAGTTTATAATTAAGTCAACTAATTAAATATGGTTTTTTTTTTAGATCCAAAGAAGTTATCTATGACTGGTTAGTAGCTTAGTAGTTGCAGCTTAGGTGGCTAGCGGGTAGTAACTCACTTACATATTTAACTTAACATATACACAATTTAAAGTGCAAAAGGCTCATTATATATTTATATTGAAACTAATACGAATAAGAAACAAGGGTATTCCCCGTGTCACGTGACCGCTGTGGTCACGTGATGCAAGTCTGTTCCATTTAACCGTTTTCTTTGACCAAGGAAAGACAGTGGCCTCGCAAAGCAAGGCATCTTTACATTGAGAAACACCCTCAGTCATCCTGGACACGATCATCTTCAGATGAAAACATCTGGACTTTTCTGGTTTTACCTCTCAGAGACATTTACAGCTTTAAACCCTGGGTTGTGAGCAGGAGGCTTAGAAGTTGTGGTCGAAAACAAACACACTGATGGTGCAGCAAGTAATTTTTTTTCGTCTTTAAAAAATAAAAAAAATTTGTCTAAATTAATAAAGGCCTTTTAAGGTAATGTTGTTCCTTTATTCCCAGATCATGTAGCCTGTAGTACCCATTATAACTTCATATAAAATTTATGGCCAATCCATGTGATCGGTATCAGCTCTTAAAAATCGGTATCGGGAGCAGAAAACCTGATCGGGGCATCCCTAATTTTCAAAAATCAAAAAACTAATTATATAGCACTTAATCATACAATGAATGTAATTCAAAGTGCTTAACAAATTAAAAATGCCCCGCATACCCACAATCCCTCCTATCCCCAGAATTTAAAAACAATCTGAGAATAAAAACCTCTTCACAACACTCATCCTCCGACACACACACACACACACACACACACACACACACACACACACACACACACACACACACACACACACACACACACACACACACACACACACACACACACACACACACACACACACACACACACACACACACACACACACACACACACACACACACAAGATTGTTGAGATGGAAGGTGAGATTAGAAAAGTTGTTTTACAAAAAGTTATTTGAAAGCATAAACCATAATGAAAAGGAAGGTTTCGGAAATCTCGAGGGATTTTAGAATCGAGAGAACAGCAAGGCGCAGCGAGGAAGCCGTGCCGCTGCCAAGACTCTCCTGGTGTGAAAAGGACCGCTTTGAAATTCTCGAGTGAGCCACTCCGCTGCTGTTCCGTTCTGCTGATGCTTGCAGTGTGAAACCGGGGTTATGATCCAAAGTCGCAGTATTGATTTTAACGAGCCACAGCTGCACATATAATCCCTCACAAAATTATTCTTGTACACCAGACGTGACCCGCCGCGTACCTGAGCTCTCTGTGTGATGAGTTGTGAGGCGTTGAACTTGGCCACCACACTCTTCAGCACCTCGTTGACGATAGAGGGAAGGACACGCTCATCGTAGTCCATCCCCAGATGCTGGTAGAGGATGGGAAGGTTGGACGCCAGCGGCCGGGACAGAACCCGCAACGTCACGTTGACCATCTGTAGGTCTGAGGACAGAGACGGAACCGTCAAACGGACTTTAAACCTGTCTGATGGAGAACAACGATAACAGTAGGGCTGCAACTAACGACTATGTTAGTAGTCGACTAGTCACCGACTATTGAAACTATTAGTCGACTAATCGGATAATTATTAAATTTTTCTTAAATTTAGCATGAGATTGCTTTAATTGTGTGAAAAATGATAAACACAAGAAAGATGGGTACTTCAATGGAAAATGCATATTTTATTGAACTTTGCTGCTGATAAGCCAGTTCATACTAAGAGTAAATAAAAATGCCCTGTCTAACACCAATTAGGCAGTAATTACTTTAGTCAGGCAGTCAGGCATAACATTAAATCTCCTTTTTGAAAAGCAAAAATACATTTAAAAAATTGCACAATCTACATCCAAAACAAAACGTACAGGCTTTTGTTATTTAAAGGTGAGTCAGTCTGTTTCATTCAACTGTCCGACGTGCTTTTTCTTTAAGTGTTCATGCATCTTCGAGGTGCTGCAGTATTACGCGACGACTGCTTTGCAAATAATGCAGGTCATCTTTTTATTCGCCGAATCCGGGCTAGAATGCTCCTAAACTTTAGATGTTTTGGTACGCGTAGCTGATGTGTTGGGCGCCACCATTTCTGTTAGTTAGTTGGCGCTCAGTAGAGAAGCTATTGCGCATGTACGACTCTCGGCAGAGATTGTAATTAAGTGAGATGCCTCACTCGGTTCGAAAAAAACATGCCTGGCGACAACGTCGACAATGAAATTCATTGTCAACCATTTCTATTATCAACATTTGTCGACAACGTCGGCAAATCGTTGCAGCCCTAGATGACAGGAACACCTGCTGCTGGGAAAGAGGCAAACACATCAGAACCATTACAGGACCCGGGTCGGTTCTGACCAGTTAATTCCTCAACGTTCTAATCTCTCATCGGCCGCTCTGACAATCAAAAATCAGATTATAGTTTTTATTCCAACAGCAGCAAAGCTTTCACAAATGTTCTCTCTCCCAAAACCAAAATTTCATTTAATCAAAAAAAAAAAAACAAAAACATTTTATTCTAGTTTGTAAACCAGGTCAGAAACCAGAATGAGAGCGTCTCTATAGCTGAAGCTTTACTAAATAATCAATATTTAGAGCAATAATCTGTTTAACTGACCAGAACCACCCTGATAATAAAAATGATGCTACAGCAAAAGCCGTGTCTCCCACGGCGGGTCCTGACCTTTGCTCCCAGTGAGGGATGAGATCTTTCTGGGTCGGGCTCGGATGTCGTAGATGATGGGGTACTGGAACCAGGGTAGCCTGCAGACGACACCGGTCAGAACTTCTCAGATAGACGTTTAAAAATGATCAGATTTATGTTTTTTCAAAAAAATAAACAAAATTTTTATTTTTTGTTCCTAAATTATTTATCAGCTGATCAGTTGGATCATTAACACATCGAGTGCAAGTTCTGAGTTACTACACACACCTAAAGGACTATCAGGAACACCATACTAATACGGTGTTGGACCCCACTGACCGTCAGAACTGCCTTAATTCTATGTGGCGTTGATCCAACAAGGTGCTGAGAGCATCTTTATAAATGTTGGCCCGTATTGATTGGATAGCATCTTGCAGTTGATGGAGATGTGTGGGATGCACACCCAGGGCACGAAGCTCCCACTGAACCACATCCCAAAGAGGCTCAATCAGGTTGAGATCTGGTGACCGTGGAGCTTTATGACATGGTGCATTATCCTGCTGGAAGTAGCCATCAGAGGATGGGTACATGGTGGTCATGAAGGGATGGACATGGTCAGAAATAATGCTCAGGTAGCCCGTGGCATTTAAACCATGCCCAGTTGGCATCAAGGGGCCTAAAGTGAGCAAAGAAAACATCCCCCACACCATGACACCACCACCACCAGCCTGCACAGTGGTAACAAGGCATGATGGATCCATGTTCTCATTCTGCTTACGCCAAATTCTGACTCTACCATTTGAATGTCTCAACAGAAATCGAGACTCATCAGACCAGGCAACATTTTTCCAGTCTTCAACTGTCCACTTTTGGTGAGCTTGTGCAGACTGTAGCCTTTTTCCTATTTGTAGTGGAGATGAGTGGTACCCGGTGGGGTCTTCTGCTGCTGTAGCACATCCGCCTCAACGTTGTGCGTGTTGTGGCTTCACAAATGCTTTGCTGCATTCCTCAGTTGTAACGAGTGGTTATTTCAGTCAAAGTTGCTCTTCTATCAGCTTGAATCAGTCGGCCCATTCTCCTCTGACCTCTAGCATCAACAAGGCATTTTGGCCCACAGAACTGTTGCATACTGGATGTTCTTCCCTTTTCACACCATTCTTTGTAAACCCTAGAAATGGTTGTGTGTGAAAATCCCAGAAACTGAGCAGATTGTGAAACACTCAGACCGGCCCGTCTGGCAACAACAACCATGCCGTGCTCAAAATAGCTTAAATCACCTTTCTTTCCCATTCTAACCTTCAGTTTTGAGTTCAGGAGATTGTCTTGACCAGGACCACACCCCTAAATGCATTGAAGCAACTGCCTTGTGATTGGTTGATTAGATAATTGCATTAAGGAGAAGTTGAACAGGTGTTCCTAATGATCCTTTAGGTGAGTGCATATCTGTCACTTTATTAACCAATCAGGTTTGACGGACTCCGCTCTTGTTTGATAACATGTAAAAAAAAAATGTTTAAGAACACAGGTGAAGGAAAGTCACTTATTTGAAGGCATTTAACATTCAAACTGTATCTATGGTTTCTGGAACCAGACACACTAGGAGCTGCTGATGCGGTTGCCAGCCCACCTGAAGTGGAGTCCCTCAGAGAGCACCGTGTTCATCTCCATGCCCCCGATCCGGTTGAAGATGACGGCTCGGTGGCCTCCCTCGACTGCACACGGAGGAAAGGGAAACAACGATTTACACAAGAACTTTGGTTCTAACTGGAGCTCTGGGTCTAAACTGGGCCTAACTGGTTCTAACTGGAGCTCTGGGACTGAACTGGACCTTCCAACTGGTTCTAACTGGACATTCTAACTGGTGCTCCGGGTCTAAACTGGGCCTAACTGGGCCTAACTGGAGCTCCGGGACTGAACTGGACCTTCCACTGGACCTTCTAACTGGTTCTAACTGGTGCTCCGGGTCTAAACTGGACCTTCTAACTGGATCTCCGGGTCTAAACTGTGCCTTCTAACTGGTTCTAACTCTCCTATTTTCCTATCAGGTGACCCCTCCAGGAAAGGCGACCATCGAGCAGGATTGATGGTTTATCCCTTGAGATCCACATAGCAGGGGTGAGGAGTGAGCACCACCTCAACCCTGCTATGTGGACCTCAAAACTCCTGTCATCTGGAAAAATTACGTTCCTCTTTCTCAAACACTTCAGTGGAATTCTGCGTATTTAGAAAGATAAACTCCAGTTACTGCTCAGTAACCAGAGTTCAACCAGGAGCTTTGGTCTTCAGTCCCTGCTGTAGTAGTTGAGAACCACCCTGCAGTCTATCTGCTCCCTAGTTGCTTTTTATATGAATCCAGGCTTTTGGACAACTTTTGATTTTGCATTTGACTCAACAGCAGCTAAAGTTAAAACAAAGAAAGAGGTTTATCTGGAGTAAAGCACCTGACTTGTTAACATGAAGAATGCAGGGAGACATGGTCAAGTAAAGAACAACAAGCTGCATTGCTTAATGCTAGTTTCATCGTCCTGAAACTATCAAAAACTAAACTTTAAAGAGAGTCAAACTTTCCTGTAACAAACGTGGCGACTCATATGCACTAGTTGCTTTAATCGGTTTTCCTGTTAGGTTTGGAGGTCCAGGTGTGGGAAGATCACCTGTGTACGTGGCCTCCTTCAATCCATAAGCCAGAGCTCCAGCTCCAAGCAGCAGTTTGAGGCCTGTTCCTGCACCCCGGGGTCCCGAGGACATCCTGCCTGCGATCTGCCGCAGCTGCTGCAGAAAACCCTGAAAATAAAGATGGAGGTTCAGATTCTGACCCAAACAGGCTGCATGGGTGGAGAAGGTTTAAATATAAGACAGAAGTTAACCTGCAAAACACCCCTGACCTTTGACCTGACTAGGTAAGCTCAAGTCTGTTTACTGGAACATCTTTGTTACACCCGTGAGAACAGGACTAATTCACTTTTCTTATTAGGAACTCAAAATTAGGCGATTTCTTAAAAATGTCTAAGGTACAGCTGACTTACAGGCGTTGCGTCCCGATTATTTAATGATTATCATAATTTATTTTCATGCTGAATTAATGAAGGACTTACGGAACCTCTGAAAAAGTATAAATGAAATAAACAAACCCGCGAGACCCGCTGGAAACACGCGTAAGTGTCTAAATTTACAGCATTTCAGGGCGAAATTTTGACTCCGAATAACACAAGTACAAAAACGGCTCTTTTAGCATATTAGCTTCATTTACACCCGCCGTGCAGCTTCACTATCACCTTCCATCAGGACTCACGTGTCAACGTTACACGCTGCTACCGCTAAGCAGATGGCAAACGGCGGAACCGACGGACCGGTTCTACCGAGCCGACCGTTAAGACGTCACAAACGTCTATTTTAAACAGAAAGCTGACTTACACCGGGCTCTTGGTTCGCCATGCTGTTCTATCCGCAAGTTAGAAAAGCAAATGGGAAGAGCTAGACCAAGGTCACGCTGATGACGTATTTCCGATTGCGCGTAGTACCATGGGAAATGTAGGATTCCTATGTTTTGGCCGTAAAACCCAGTGAACATCAATATTCTGCCGTTTAACAAGAGTTTTACATAAACAAACACAATAATTACAATAAAGGGTTTTACTGATCTTCTGTTCAGGCAGAATGCTTTTTCTTTTTGTTGTTTTACTGAGTCTCTTCTACTTTATTCAATTATAAAGAAATGAGCTGATGCTGATGATGGCATTACTTCCTACTCTGTTTATCAGCGAGCAGCAGAGGACGTTGTCACCCTCTGCTGCCCGCTCTCATTCGTTTCATTTCATTTACTCATAAACACCAATGCATACGCCCAAGGTGCTGAACACAACCAGAGGCGGTTTTACCATTAGGCATAGGTAGGCCCTTGTGTTGGGGGGCCCCCTAGCCCTGACCGCTGGCACCCCTCTGTTAATGCCACAATACTCTTATTACCAACCTGTGGCCGCAGACGGGATTGGACATGCTTCTCATTACCATAAGCCCTGAACCGTTCAATATATCATTAAAATTCCAAAAGTGATGAAAAGATTAAAAATGGGGCTTTTCGTGCATATACAATACATTACGGTAGCCACCGGGATTCCCTGTCTTGAGCGCAACGAATCACAACAAAGATTCAGAGACGTTCTGAGTTTGTCATCCAAAATGCTCCGTTTTACAACTTTTGAATGGCTGATCAGATCCAAAAAATTCCAACGGTTCATAAAAGTACATAAAAGCAGCTTTTCAACGATCTATAGTATGAAGCAATCAGAGTTATGGAAAATATCGCTACGGGGGGAAATCCTTCGGTACAGCCGGATTGAAACGGAGCGTATTATTACTATTTCTGTATAAACATATTCTTTCAATTGTGTGGAGCTGCTGGAGCTGACAGCGGGATGCTCCCCGCCCGCTGGGAGGGCCGCCGTTATTGAGCTCGGGGGTAGCTCAACAGGCACATGGGGGCGTGTTTGGAGAGGGTCTTACTCCAGCGCCGCGGTGACAGCGGATATCGGAACGGGGAAGCTAATTAGCATAAAAGCCAGCATGAAATTGTGGAAATGCCTCAAAGAAAATCAACACGATCTATTAAGTGTCCCAGAAGGCTTATATCTGAAGACAGTGACCATGAAGAAGGACAGATCTCCAGTGAACATATGAACGTTTGTTCAGTCTTTATATTTTATTTTTTTATTTGAACAACCCTCAACTATTTGCTAATTGTAAGATTCAGCTTCATTCCAGCATTATTTATCTTTTTACAATAAATAATTATTTTTGCTAAAACAAAAGTTTTTGGTATAGCAGTGCACGGTGTGCCAGAGAAGCACCCCATGGCAGTGTGAGGTGTGCAGGACTCTGCCTGCAGCTGGAGAGAAACTGCTTCAAGGCCTACCACATCAAATAAAAACATCTGAAAGTTTACAAATAAATTGTCTTAAAAACTGCAAAAAAAAAAAAAAATACCAAGGTTCAAATTAAGAATAGATGCAGTTCAAAGTTTAAATTGTTTGCCCAGTAATTTTGAAGTTCCTGTTCAGTAATAACTGTAAAAAAAAATCAAATCCGTTTTTTGCTTTTTTTCACTTTTAAGCTGATTTTTTAAAGGCTGTAATAGAAATAAATTATAAATACAAACCATACACTAAAAGCTGAGGTTGTTCTAAAAAAAGGAGAGCATTACACACACTTTGAACTTTTTTATTACAATTTTACAGCCATAAGATTAAAAAAATACCAGGCGGCCCTGTTATAATTATGGTCATAAGAGGGTTATTAAGACGGCGATGCACAAACAGGAAGTGATTGGTAGTGATTCCACTCCAATCCAGTTGGTGGCGGTAATGCACCAAATGGTTGTTTGCCACGTGCCATAAGACCACAAATAAGAATAAGAAGAGAGGCGGGAGCATTCGTAACAAACTCAAAGCGATAGTCAAAACATTGAGCATTAAATTGAGTTATCCTAGTGGCTCCAATAAGAGAAAGAAGCAGCTTGCTTCATAAAAGCTTTTATCTTCACTTCTGAAAGTGACGTCGTTTTTTGATGTAAACATCAAAAGGAAGCAGAAAGGAAAGACAATGGAAAATGTTTCAAGGGAGGAAAACATGGACCAAAATGGAAAAAAAAAACTAAGGCAAAAGCACAGGAGCACTGACAGAAAAAAGAAAGCAGAGCAAATATTGAAAGCACTCATAGGGTTGGAAATACAGGAAAAAAGAGGAGGACTAATAAAACGGGAAAATAACTCATGTCAGAAGAGGAGTTTTGCAAATCCAGTTAAAGGTAAGATTGTCTAAAATTTAGTGTAAGGGGCCCCATGTCTGTGTTCGCCTTGGGCCCCCAAATTGCTAAATCCGCCCCTGAACACAACACAATCAGGGAAGCCGTAAAGCGGTGAAAGATTAGGAAGATTCTTAGGGCCCACCGCTGTCAGGGGCCCCAAAAAGTTTCAAAGTTGAATAAAAAAAACTGAGTTTAAAAATCACAAGTACTTTACTTTGCAGTATTTTTTCTCATTTAAGACATTAAACAAACAAGCTTTTAGTCTTCATGAAATGTAAATTTATTCAGACGTCCCTACTTTATTTTGACTAATTAATTTGACCCCCCCCCCCCCCCACACACACACACACACACACCTCCAACGGCATAAAATGGTACAGTCCACGTGGCCGAGGGGCACAAAGCAGGCGAAGCCAGCTCACGCCGCAGTCAGACAGCGGAGTGCGCCAAGGCTGCAGTAAAAATATGTCTGCAAAAACAGTCACAGAAAAGGAAAGAAAGAAAGGAGAAAGAGGACAGGCAAAAGAGAGGGCGTCAGTATGTCACACAGTTTTTCTCAAAGAAAGGTGGGTTTAGTTAGTGAGTGGTTAAATTCAACCTGTTAGCTAGGTCTGATATCCACAGTGAGAGGAACTATGTTTCATCTAATTATGGTAAATGGGTTGTCGTCCTTGCCCCTACCAGAATCAGCAGCTGGTGATATGTCAGCAGGTGTCCCCTCACAACCCAATGAACCTCAAGAAGGTGAGCAATGTAGCATGTTAGCTAGCTGCCTCATTTAAGGGGGTCTGTGGGAATCACTTAAGGCTCTCTTCTCTATCAGTACTATTACAAAGGAATATAAAAAGGCTATTTTTGGTGATAAACAAATTGTTTTTCCACATAATGATAATTATATATATCAATCAGTAAAAAGGTATAGTTTGCTTTGAATGCAGGGCAGGTTGAAGCATTGTTATTTAGTCTGTTAATGTAACATAAATTACTGTGAGATTCTTACTGTGAAGCACCTTTTTGAAGGCACCATACAAGAAAAAAAACCTCTTCATATACTAAACACCTTGAAATGAAATGTTTTGAAACTGACTGAATGATTGGAGGTTTTAAAAGATGTAATTTGTTTAGGTAGCTTTTAGAACACAAACCAAAAATCAATAATTTCCAAATAATTCATCAGAGAGCAAAACTGAAACAAAAGCTGTTGATAATTGTAATAAATAAACTTAATATAACATTGAACACAATAAAATATGAAATCTAGTATCGATGATGGAGAACTACAGCTAATATCCTGCAGGAGTCTGTGTTGCATTTTCCCTGTTGTGCATTAATTTTAAAGATTGTTGTAACTTGGATAAAGATTTTGTCACAAATGATAGCCTATATTGTAACACATATATTAATTTCATCATGTACAGAGCCTGGACCCTCCCAATGTCAGGTTTGGTCAGGACGAAGTATATACGTATTCATGCAAAGTTGTCCAACTTTAAAATTTTATGTAACCCGAACTGACTCCGGTTTGAACTGTGTGCTTATTCATTTTGTGTCTATGATGACGCCATGGAGACTTAATAAAGAAGTCACCTTGTGAGAAGTGAATCTTTAATTTTTGTCAGTCATACAGAAATACTTGATTTCAAGAGGAAAGACAGCTGAAAATGTAGTTATGTAAAGCTTTGACACAACATGAAAATTTAATTAGATGTCCAAATTTGAATTTTATCATCAAATAAAAATTTTGAATAGATAAACACATTTTAAGGGAGTAAAAGGGAAAAGGAGATTAACACCTTTCAGCATGTGCATTTCCTGCTTTTTCCAGCAGTGATGTTGCTAACTCTGTTGAAGGAAATTCACTGTTTAATGAGAGACAGCTGGTGAAAATGATATGTAATGTAAATAAGTAAGAATGCATGTAGACCTACATAATTAAGCAAAACTGAAACACTAATATAAAGTATATATATTATATTTTTTTCTCCCTTTGAATCTGGGAGGGTGGAACGCCAGCTCCAGCTATGGACGAGCCCCAGGGGGCCCAACTTGATACTTTTTCATGGGGCCCAAAATCTCTGGCAGCCCCCCTGAACACAATAAAAACATAAAACCATCAGAATAAAATATAACAATCGTAAAACCAACATAAAATCAATTAAAAGAGGAGAGTAAAAGCAAAAAATAAAATCCTGAAAAAGATTACAGTTTTTTTCAATTGCTAAAACACGTTTTTCAAAACTGTACGTTTCCTTCAAAACTGCACACACAAAACCCCAAACATAACACACAAATTCTTAAACCATGGCTTCCCTTTGCAACCAAACCCTGCCATCACATATGACCAAAGCCGAAGGCTTTTGTCATCTTATCAGTACATGCCATAGCAGGGTCGAATTTGATGAAAATCTTTGTGTAAATAGACGATAGTTAGTCATTAGTAGACCTGGGCAGTCTCGGAGTTGATACCCGAATAGGGCCCAGGTTCGTACAGACGCGTTAGAGGTGGCTGAGGATGAATCTCAACTGCGGTTGATAGCAGACCAAAACACGCAAATAACAAAACGTATGTTATCAGACCTGAAAATGGAAACCAGGAACGTTTTAGGCTGTAGACTGGCGCGGCCTTGCGAGGGTTCGGCACAGGTGGGCGCTCTGGAGGGCCCTCGGTCGACGCGCAGGTGCAGTCAGAGAGATCGGGGTCAACCAGTGGTGGTACAGGGC